TGCTGGGTCCTGCACTTTGGCCACAACAACCCCCTGCAGCGCTACAGGCTGGGGACAGAATGGCTGGAGAGCAGCCAGGCAGAGAGGGACCTGGGAGTTTGGATTGACAGGAAGCTGAACATGAGCCAGCAGTGTGCTCAGGTGGCCAATGGCATCTTGGCCTGGATCAAGAACAGTGTGGCCAGCAGGAGTAGGGAAGTGATTCTTCCCTTGTACTCAGTGCTGGTGAGGCCATACCTGGAGTACTGTGTCCAGTTTTGGGCCCCTCAGTTCAGGAAGGATATTGAGGTGCTGGAGCAGGTCCAGAGAAGAGCAACAAGGCTGGTGAAGGAACTTGAACACAAGTCCAATGAGGAGAGGCTGAGGGAGCTGGGGTTGTTCAGGCTGGAGAAGAGGAGGCTCAGGGAAGACCTCATCACTCTCTACAACTACCTGAAAGGAGGTTGTAGCCAGGTGGGCATCGGTCTCTTCTCCCAGGCAACCAGCAGTAGGACAAGAGGGCACAGTCTTAAGCTCTGCCAAGAAAGGTTTAGGTTGAATATTAGGAAGAAATTTTTTACAGAGAGAGTAATCAGACACTGGAACGGGCTGCCCAGGGAGATAGTGGATTCTCCGTCCCTGGAGGTTTTTAAGATGAGATTGGATGTGGTACTTAGTGCCATGGTCTAGTAACCACAGTGGTGTTGGCTCAAGGGTTGGACTTGATGATCTCAGAGGTCTTTTCCAACCTGGCTGACTCTATGATTCTCTGCACACCTTCGGCACCTGGCCTGGGTGGCCACTCTGCACATTGTTAGCAAAGCACACACCAGCAAAGCACATTCCTGATGGAGTCATGAGCACCAGTAGTCCAGTCTCTGACAGCACCGGGGAGGTCACTGCAGGTGGTCTAATGTCATTAAACACTAGCAGTTCAATCTCTTTAAAGAAGGCAAAACATCAAAAAGCCAAAAAGGCATATTTGGTGAAAAGGTGGATACCAGAATTTTTGTGCAACCCAGGACAACCATTTACATATCTTGTGAAGAGACTGCCAATAGTTTAGCACGTGAGGAATGTACCACTGACTATTATAAAGTAAAGAAACCCAAAGCAAAGAAATCCAATAGTTATACAATTCAGCTACTCCAGGAACAGCATGAGGTTTCTTCTTGCAATTTTAAAGCACTCCATGTCACCAATAAAGAAACTTAAATGTCAACTCCTACACTGAGTTTCTACCCGAATTATATTCAGGTGTCTAACTTGACCTCCCTCAATAAGAGCACTCAGGGTCAAATTAAAAGGATTACAACAGTAATTCTGGGGACAATGACCCTAAAAATAGAGTTCTGCTACATCTACAAATTCACTTAGACCTGTTTGCATAAAAACCTGCCTTTGGCCCAGGAAAGTAAATCTGGACACCCAAAGAGATCCCACATTGTAAGGAAAACTTGATAATACCATAGAGAAATCTTTAATTTTTTTTTTAAAGACAAGTACTTTAACTTCACATGCTGAAGGCACAATAGTCATGAACATACAAGGTATGGAAAACAGTTGCCAAGTCTGTCATAACTGAGCAGTATGCATACATTTTTGTACTCCTGCATCAGCCTTACTTGTATGTACATGTTTACGTCTGACAAAATAGAAAAAAAATACCCAGAAGGAAAAAAAATGTAGAAAAATAATTTAATAATATAGAATAATACCCTTGTTGCATGAAGTAATATTTAAAGTATTTTCTATAGATGTTGATTAAAAAACTGTGATTCAACTGAAAAGAATCCAAGGCAAACTTTAATGGTAGCCTCAGAAAAAATCCTACAATTGCAAACCATTTGGGTTTTTTTTTTTGTGCATTCTTCTATATCCACTAAAGACAACAGATATGCTAATAAATTAACACCTACTGAGTCATGTTACTCCGACTTTCAAAGGTGCAAAGACATAGCAGAACTAATAAAATTGTTTTATCTCAATTCAGCAGTGGCTGTTGTGCCCACGACTAGCCAGCTTGTCCACTCATGCTGGTCCAGAGAGTCATCATGTAAGCAGGGTACTCCTTTGATTTAACCAGCACTTCTCACCTTGCTTTGATAGAAAAGGAAATGCAAGCACTAAGGGATAAAGGTATTTTACCTATCATAAAAGATAATAGTGGAAATATGAGGAAAACAGTACAACCCTCTTGTCTTGGTTTAATGACAATATATTCAGGAGGTGAGACCTCTAATGAGATGAACCCTCCTTCTTTTATTATTTCCCTCCCCCAAACATAGAGAAGGTAAAAAATTACAAGGAGTCTGAATGAAGAAGGAAAAATTAGAATTTTACTAAAAAGGGAAAGAAACTTAAAACCCCAATAATAGCAGAAAATATTACCTAGCTACCCCTCTCCCCCCTAGGGTAAAACAAAACTTGAAAGGATATTTCATCCAAAAAAATTTTATGCTGCTGAGGTGCTTGGTGTGGGTTCCATTGTAGCAACCACATGAGTGTGTTGGTGGCGGGGCTGGGGATGACCCAGCATAGTCCTGGAGCCTGGCGGGAGCTGAGTGGGCTTGGGCCTTGAGGTAGTGGCGCTTTGTGTGGGAGAGAGAGAGAAACAGTTGCAGCTGAGATGGTAGTGACTCTGGAGAAGACAATTCCCAGGTTGGTGGCGGCAGCTCCCAAGGCTACCGAGAAATAGCTCCAGAAGTGCTCCAAGAAAACAGTGCTATGGTGGTTCCACTGAGTCTGAGCTTGGTTGGACAGTGAAGGAATGGCTCCAGCAAAGACTCTGAGCATCTGCGGTCCTTCAGCGGGCAAAACCCGGGGACATAGAGAGCAGTTCTGGCCCATGCCCGTCTTTTATCTCCTGTCTCCTGAGTTCCCAGGATAGAAAGAGATCCACCTTCCTGGCAGGTCTTGAGACCCCTGGGGACAGTCTGCCCCTGATCCAGCTCGGACAGTGTGATCCTCACGCTCCAAAATTATGTAGTGGTATGGAAATATTTGTAACTGAAAAATCCTTCCCATCTAACTAAAACTACAACAGTGCCTGTTACCATTTCAGAGCCATTGGTCTATATGATTGTCCTAGTTAGAACAGCTGGGACCAGTTCATCACTGTATGGGTGTAACCCAAAACTGTGTATTTTATAGCCTTCCATGCCATTTCCCAGAAACTGTTATCAATAGACTATTTACACCCTCTGCCCAGAGCAGCCTGACTCCTCAGGCTATAAACTGGATGTTAGGAGGCCTGCAAGATAGGAGGGTGCCTCCCTGTCCTCACACCCTTTGTGGAACTCCCCGCCCTGAGGGAAGTACTGGGCATTCCTGCCTGAACTGGAGAATATATAATCTTGGAGTTTTGGAACTTTTTTAACCACTCGTGGGATCCAAAGGAAAACTGCAGATCACCGCTCTCAACCAAACTGCAGACCACCACTCTCAACTAGACTGCAACCACCACTCTCGACTGGACTGCAACCACCACTTTTCAACCAGACTGCAACCATCACTCTCAAACCGGACTGCAATCATCACTCTTGACCAGACTGCAACAACACTCTCACCAACAGGTTTTCCCCTCTCCTTTTCCTTTGGACTCAGGGGGCCCAAAGAACACCACTCTGTTCATGCCCTGGGGTGCTGGGTTATACATTTGGGTTTTGTGGGTTAAACACAATTGTTTGTCTGTATAATCGTACTTATTGTATCATTTTATTAAATTATTATTCTGACTTATAATCTCTCTTTTGAGTTGAGTTCATTTCCCCTGCTGGTTTATCTTTAAACCAGCACAGTGATGAGCTCTTTCAAAAAGGTATGTTCTAACTAACCAGGCTGCCAGAAATTCATAGACAACAGAAATAATGTAAAGTGAGAAATGCTGTTTCCATTGCACTGATGTTCACCATCTCTGTATCATCTGTAAAACAGGTAAAGGTGTATAAGAATATCTTGAACTGATTAGTATCTATTTTAGTAAGGCATTTTCATTCTTATCTTCAAAGAGTAAGGAACATATTCCTTAGGTCAGGCTTCTCCTTGTGAACTAGTTCTGAAAATTTCAACTTGCTTTTTCTCCTGCTGACATACCACAATGAGCAGGGGACAGTCTACAGGGCTGTGCTACTTCCCAAGCTAACCCATTCCAGCCTGGCCCAGCTTAACCCAACACAATCACTTAAGACATTTTCCAGTTCATCGTTCCAACCTCTAGCTGCCATCAGCTCAAGATTAAAGCAAATGTCATCTACCTCTGAAGCCCATGGTGAAAAATTTATGTAGTCCTGGACATGATACAGGTTTTACAGTTTTACAGCTGCAACTCTTCAAGTTGCTTGGACCTACTGGAAAAGGATTTATTTTATTGTAACTCCCAAATGTTCATTTTTGTATGTGTGTTTTTCCACAGAACGTGCACATTGCTTCCAGCAATGTGTTTTATATTACCTGGAAGAATACAAATGCTCTAATGGGAGGAAACAATTTTATTCTTATTGCCAGTGCAACAAAAAGCAGAACTTCAAAATGACACCATGACTCCTCAAGTAAAGTCATCCCATTTATTTTGGAGCTTGGGGACCTCCCTCTTCACTCTCTTACAGTCTTCTATGCAATTACACTAAACCCTACAACTGTGGGCCAAAGATACACACAAAGATTCTTTTTGCCTATCACAGACAAAGCAAGCTGCTTGTCATTGATTTATACCTACCTCAGTAGTGCATATAGAAAGGAATCTGTCTTTTCCTGTAATGAGTGTGCCCCTTTTTAGGGCACACATTGGGCATGCCTTTCTTGACGTAAATTCAGTCTCTCTCCTGAGAGGTGTTCAGTGAGGCTTTCATCACAAATATAACTATAAAGAATTTCATGTAGAGTTCAGGAGCTAGCCTGGACAAGGCTTTGTGATAAACATCTACTGGAAAATTAAGATATAGAAAAATATCTTTCATCTTCCTAATGCATCTTACCTTACTTCATGTTGCTCTAAGATGTCAGTGACCAATAATCCTCACCTTGATAGTGAAGTCTGCAGTGAGAGGCCCAGATATTCTTAAGATCTCCTTGTCAGGAAACTTCTGGAAGTCAATGCTAGAATTTTCTACAAGAAAGGAGCCTGTGGTGCTGAGGCTGTTTTCACTCTTCAAACCTTGGAGAGTCTTGGTTTCCAAATCTGAAAAATAGAAACAAATTAAAGGGAAACTAGGGCATTGCAATTTGAAGCAAGAGCAAGTGAGAGCAAAAAAAGAAAACCAACGCAAAAGAGTGGTGGTTTAGATTTGCCTCCTAAATCAGTAATAATGCATCTACTTTTTTTTTTCCCCATAGTTAATTCACATTCCCATACTTTTTTCTCTTCAATCTGCTTTTTGTCTTTCTTCAACCCTTAGATTTTTAGATTGAATTCCCCTCCTTACCCGTAGCTCATACTTTTATTCTCTTCCAGATATATTAATCCATTCCTAGTTAGGCATATTTGCTGTTGTTTAGCTCACTCTCAGTAAGTCATGCTCCTATGTGAAGCATGACTCAGACCTTGGCCCATGAGTGCTGTTAAGTTGCTGTACCCTCTTGCAGTTCAAAGGTGGGTCAATAACCACATGTTGTTGTGGTAGATAATTAATGCAAAGCAGAATGCTCAGGAAAGAAAGATCAGTATGACAGCAACCCCGCCTCCTCTCCAGAAGTAGCCTGATCTATTGCAGTGGACTAGAAAGTGAGTCCTGAATCCTCCTGAGCTCTCCCTCTGGCTCTGTGAATTCACAGTTCCCAAAAAGCAGGCATTAATTCAGATACTGTTTAGTAGCAGTTACTTCTGATGGTCATAATAAAAATATTAGTAATTTATTAAACAGAAATCAACAGTCAGAAAGTAGATCTGTCTCATCACCTAATTAGCCTTTCCACCAACTCCATATTATGCTTTACAGCATGTTTACCAGTAAACCGTTTCTCAGTTATTTAAAAGTGATAGTGCGCTTCATTATGAAGGATTGCAAAGCTGCAAACTTTTTACATGTATTTACAAAATTATGCACAAAATCTTCTCCAACAGAGAGAGGTAGTCAAAGTAAAATCTGAGTTAGGTGTTGGCATACTATTCATCTGTAATGGAGACATATTTTCAAAGAAAACAAATGGGAGATATGTTTTTATTGGTGTATATTTTGGGTTTTATTTGTGTATATTAAGTTTTTTTCTTTAGTAAAGAAAGATAATTGCACTAATTAGACTGCTTTTCATGGTGGGTCAACGGAATTAATTAATGAAGGAAGTTGCTGAGACAGTACTAAAAATTTGCACTGTATTAATGAATTCCTTGGTTTTCAGTGAGATTAATCTCTTCCTTTGTGATGGCCATTTGGCCATCTATTTATTTCTGGACAAGGCTGTATGCAGGAATAAAGATGGTTTAAAGACTTGTGTATATATATCAGCCACCTGTTGACTTCTGCCACAACCAAAGTTCACAGGGCAAGAGACTCCCCCTCCCCGAGCAACTGATTGTAGCTCACACATATATAAAACCCTTTGATAGGTGAAGAGAAAGATTCATGGAGACATCTGAAACAAGAAAGAGATATATTTGGACTTATTCATGTTTACACAGTGCAGTTAATCTAAATCTTAAACAGGCAGACCTCTCTGATTCAAATCTTTTTGTCTTGAAATGTGATATGTATGGTCTGAGTGAAGACAGCGTTAGATCAATCTCTCCAACTAAAATCTCATTTCTCTCTAAGCTGTCTTATAGCTTAATTTCACTGAAACGATAATAAATATATGATGTTTTTCTACCTTGGAAGAGAGCATCTATACTGGAAAAGAATATAGGAGAGAAAAGAAGACTGCAAATCATGTACTGGGAGAGTAGTAACAGTCAATACTGGAGCAACTCAGAAATACTTGAAGGTCCACTTAAAACTGAAGCACAGGCAGCATTTGAACTTTAAAAAAACCGAAAATATATTTTTTCTTGGTTTATAATCTATAATTTTCTGGTCTTTATTCACAGCTTTAAATTGGAAGACCATTAAAGCATATCCACTGCTTTCTCAACACAAGTAAGGAGCTACAGAACAGGACTGATAAACCACTCCTTATTTTGCCACTCATATCTTTGGGCAAAAGAAATCTGAAGAGAGTGGAATGATTTGGTGTTTCACACTGTGTTGACACTAATGTTTGTATCTACAGTGACAAGCACAGAGGACTCTAACTGGTCCATGCTGCAGGAAAATTCTAATGACTTTGGACTATCTTACAATAATTTGTGCTACTGAGAGGTCATGCAGTACAGTTTGGTTGTTTTCTGACAGTTAGCATATACTAACACTAATACATTTGCTGCTGAAAAAGAGAGCAGGTTCTGAGCAGCTACTGCATTGGAAGGTAAGACAGAGGGATGCAAGGACCTTCTATTCATGAAATAAATGGATTTGCCTTCAGCTCTCACAGAGTGTTCTCAAATCCTGAGACTCCTCCCAGAGAAGAGGCATATAGAGCTGCTAGGATACACAGATGAAGCAGGGAAGTGTTACAGACACCAAGTGATGGGCTAGCAGCACTCCAGTGGTCTTAACTGCTTGGAGCAATACCACTGTTAAGGAGCATGGTTTGACTTGTGCATGCTGTTTCAGATCTTCAGACAGTGACTTTGTGTGTGTGAACATGTTTGTATGCATGCACGCAAGTATGTGTGTAAGACTGCATGTGTATATCACGGGACTGAGAGAGATTATCATAACAGAAACATGTTAAAGTCATAAGCAGCTTGATGGCTAAGCTCAGCTGTGGAAAAGCTTATACTTTACTGTCCTCAGTATTTCTTCACTCAGTGGTATATATTTTATTAAACAAAAGCACTTGACAGTAAGTGAGCCAGCCAAAGGATAAGCCAACAGAAAAATTATAGAGGGGCAAAGAATTCCGCAATGTTGGCCAAAGTCTGCTCTGAAAAGAGTGTGTACCCCTGATGTAACTGGGTCTGAGAAGAACTTCTGAGGGTAGGACTCATCTGTGTGTTGAAATCAGTAATCTTAGAGAAGGAAACCAGACATCACAGTGTAAACAGAGCACTGCAGGTTACCAATGATCTCTTAAACAAATGTACACTATCTTATTCTACTTACGTAAATGATCGGGTCCTTTCAGCACGAGGCGAACTTGTCTGCTTCCATAGGGAATAGCAACCACTGTATCATCTACTGTGGGAAGGCAAAAATGCATGGAGAAAATAAGCAAAGAAACTCCCATCTGTTTTCAAAGAAGCAGTGAAATAGGTGCTTACAAGGAAGTGAAGAGAAAAGCCTTAGGACAAATTAAGCAACTCTAAGAATTATGATTAAAAATCTGAAAAAAAAAAGAACTTGTTAAATGTGGTAAGAACCTTCTCCTAAGAACCCAAACTTGTTGATTTTATTGATTTTCAACTACTTCACAACTATTTATGGATATGAAGAATAACTAATAACTTTATATTTCATCATGACTCCACTTATACTTTTTTCAAGTATTTCAAATTGATATTTGTGGCAGAATCTTGCACCTATGAAGCCCTGTGGAGCTTTGCCTATGGGATTTAAACCAACGTGTGAATTAGCATGTAGGCCACATGCACCTGTAAAAGTTAGGTCAGCATTTCTAAAGAGTCAGCAACCTCAGTAATGTCCTCAATGGAGACAGGAAGGAAAGGTGAGGAAAGATGATATAAAACATTAGACCTGGGTCATGAAGTGGGGTGCCCAGAGAATGCTGACCTGGACTAACCAGCATGCTTCATTTACCTTTCCCTGTCCTTTCTGCCTCCTTCCCATATAACTAGCAGCTGGGAAAAAAAAAGTATGTATGCCTAACAGGATTTTTTTTGGGGGGTGAGAAGGTGGTAGACCTGAGAGAAACAAAGTGTCTTTCACTATCTATCCACTAGAACTACTCACACTTGTGCCATGAAATGCTTACTAGCAGGAGCTAAGCTCTGCTCTCAAAGCAACGTGTTGCTTTGTCAGGTAAGGCTAAGTCAGACAATAAAAGCATTTCATCTTTCATTCAAACATATGAGCTGGGGCCTTACCTTTCTGACCAGACCAAAAGGGGAAAACCGTTGGAATCTGGCTAAATCAGGATTCTTGCTTACCAGCAAAATAGTTATTAATGTTGTCATTTTATTTCAAAAAATGAGGAGAATCAACACTGAGAGGAAGCACTACCCGAAACAGGAACTTTTGAACAATACACTCATTCATCCAAACCTATTATATCTCAGAACTGTGAATTAGAACCCTCTCATATTTTAAATTGTGTAATGTATCACAGGAATTCCTGACACTCTTATATTGGAGAGCTTTATGGGATGAAATATTCATACTGTTGTGGCCTCTTAATATCCCAAAGGGAGGGGACAAATGTAATCAGTCACTCTGAGTGCCACAAGAATTTTATGGACATAAGCCTGTTCAAGGTCTCAGGCCATGTTCCATGTTCAAGATCTGATGGAACCATGTTCCACTTTTCAAGATCTGATCTGATATGTTTCCTCAAACAATCCAAGAATTTCAGTGTCTTCTACATCTTTTGTAACACTGGGACTAAACTCTACTCAACACATATTCTGCTCATACACAACTATGATATTGATTAGCAAGGCAGAAATCTTTAATCTTGATGCAGAATTCAAATTTTCTATTTGAAAAGATAAATATTCACGCTCTAAAAAATTCACTAAATATTGATATTCTAGTACTGATTTTATTGGTACCATTCTGGCACTCATATTCAAGATAACCAGTAGAATAAACACATTTTATCCATTTTGGGGAACAAAATACATGAGTATTGTAAAGTAAGATACACAGGTATCCCCAGAAATGCCAAGACAGTGGAAAGAATTCAAAAGTTTATTTAGAAGGCCAGAACATGAAAAACGTACAAATAATTCACAGTGCTATAGAAGCACTGGGTCCCAGGGAGCAAAGGCAAGTTCCCACTCTCTTCAGGGTCTTTAGTATCCTCTCTGTTTCTCCCCTGCCTTCCCAAGGCCTCTGTATATGTCTGCTAGGGTTATCTCTCTCCAGCATAGCAGAGAGAGACAACACATCTCTCTCTGCAAACCCATCTGGACCGCAGAAGGGAATAAAAAAAAATCCAACCCTCTTGGGAAGGCATTTTGCAAGACTTCCTAAGTGAAAACAAGTTTATAGCTTTCCCGTTACGAATTCTTCTGAAAGCACAACTATTACTACAGTATGACATATCATTTTGTTGTATATATATATATATATATATATATATATATAACATTTATTGGAATGAGTCCGGGAAAACCATTATATCAATTTAAAAAAAAAAAAAGAAAAAAATAATGGCCTTTTTACAGTACAGTTCCATGCCATTATGATATTTGACTGTCTCTCAGTTGCAAGCTCTGTGCTGGAGAGTTAACAACTCACTGATATGTAACCGAAAAACTGGACAGTTTAAAGATCATATGAGCTTATGTTTTCAGCATGGCTCTTCTGCCCCAGGGTATCGCTAGGACTGTATTTCACCTGATCTTGCAGTTGCTCTCCATTTGAAATCCTAGCATGCTTTATGTGAAATGCAAAGCTCAGTGAGATTTATGCTTATCACTGTGCTTCTTCCTTTCACAAAGCAGAAACAGTGGGAACTGAAGGATAATTTCCTGCAGGGAACAATGATAAGAAAGAGACATTTCGTGTGAAGAGACATGTGAAAGTAAGCATGGTAGTATTTAGTCACAGCTCCCTCTAACAATAAGCAAAGAGGCAGATTGTGGAGCAGCTGTGGAACACTTGGAGGAAAACACAAAGTGCATTAAGAGGTGGTTGGTTTTCTCCAGAGACCAGGCACAGAGAAGCAAGGGAGAGTCCCAGATAACTGAAAGGACAGTGGCTCAGGGCTGTGAAGAATGTGCAAGGATTTAGGCAGAAGTTAAATGTCATGTGCATACATCAGATTCCCATGAGAGATTAGTTTCTTGTAGTTTTTGATTTTTAATTTGGATTTTGTCCAAATGGTCTCTCTGTTCTCAGGATGAAAAATGGAGTTCTTCCTATTTCTTCATTACTATTGATATTTAATGGAAATCTGGAACCAAATCTATTTTTGGCAACTATGGCAAGACTAATTATGTAAATATCCAGACTACCTCAGTGTAACAATTTCTACAATTCTCTTTTAAAAGTAATCTACTCCACTAGTAGACATCAACCCCTCTTTAGAGAAATACTCTAAATATAATATTGCACAAGGTTACTGGCAAATTTCACTCACAACTTATAAGATCAACTCTCTAGCTTCTTAAGGAATACAAAGAAGCCTGCTTAAACATAGTTTATCTCCATAGGAAGGACATACGTTCTTTCCTAAAGAAGATATTAAAAAAAAAAGAGAAAGATGCAGACTTAGAAAGACTGAACCGCCAGCCTTAGTACTAAGAGAAATGAATATTTCTGAAATGAAGGTTTTGTAGCTTTTTTATTCTTATTCTTAAAAAAGTATAGACACAGGTGCTTTCTTTTTCATAAAAATGTAGGCGAGAATTCAAGGCCACATTACCTCCTGCCCTGCTATGTTCCTGTTTCTGAGGCCTCTGAGAGATGCGTACTAGCCCTATAAGTAGTGAGGGAGTTGCTTCTGTAGCAAGTGTTTATAGTGACAAATAAGCAAGATGCTGACACAAAGTGCTAATGGTGTCAGGGAGGATAAATGCAGAAAATTAACATTTTTAACATTTTTGGTTTTTAACATTTAAAATCTCAAGTTTTCACAACATTTCCATACAACAGAAAGAATTCATATTAATTCACACATTCAAAGGTGATCCTTAACTGTGTCTTTAGAATTGTAAGAATCTGATTTAAAAGAAGACTTTCTTTTGATACATTCAAAATTCATAGTGTTGCATAACAACATGTATGTTTACAGTAGGGAATGGAATAATGCCCCATGGTTTATGCAGAGTACATACAAAATCTATGATTATCTACTTCAGCTCTGAATAACAATTATTTGTGGTAAATGTGTCTGAAAAATCCATTCTCTAATATTTTTTTCACATTTGCCTCACTCTAAGACTATGCTCTCTGCCATTGTTCTACTACCTATATAACGTTCTTTATGTTTAATAGCAAACCACTGGGACCAGGGACGCTATTTTTTTCAACATTTTAGTACTGTGCATAATATATTAGTGTCTTTATCCTCAGAAGAGAAGAAATGAGCACCCTTTTACCCAAAGCAACTGCAAACCAATGAATTTCTTCTATAGGAAGAGACATTTGCCAAAAAAGTTAACAAACATTATGATGTCTCAAGTAGGCTGGAGATTTCCAAATCTGTTCCTGCACATTGCAGAAGCAGGTAGCAATGAGGTGAAATGCCATTTCTAAATCTTTGTGAATTATTGCCTTTGCCCTCTAGTGTGCAATTCTGCTTCAGCAATAGAACTCTTACAAGGATTATACAAAATCCTTCCTTCCTTCCTTCCCTTTTTTTTTCTCCTACTCTCTCCCTCTTAGTTAGCAAACACAGAGCCAGAGGTGCACTGTGCTAACTGCTGCTCTGTGTACTGTGCTCCACAGTGAAGCAGTTATTCTTTCACAGAGAGAAGCTTTTGTAAAAAGTGCCTCTCACTGCTCCTCACAGAAGCTGAATGTTCTATATAGGAATATACACACGCTGTCTTCGGCAGATATTACACTGCTATTTGAATCTTTGAGGTCATGTGCTATTCAGCACCGGGAAAAGTGCTCCAGAATGGTAGAGCTGGTCTGATTGAACTCTAAGGCTGGGGGTAGCTTTGCATGCTAGCACATGTGTGCCTACACAGGCATGAAAATACATTTACATTTTAATCCTTCCTGACCAAACATGCCCTATCTGTCATCCCAAAGCTTTTACAGCTCCACCTATGGTGCTGTAACAAGGCTGAAAAGCATGTCTGGGATCTAGGATAAACTAATCCTGTCACTGGGGCACACTAATGCTACTTTACTACTCTGGGTTGAAGCTGGCTCAGCGTGCAGGACAGGCCATGTTTGTCTGTAGGCCTCTCTCACATCCATGTAGGCATTTTCTGACAACTTAGGTTCCTCAGTCCACCACAGAACTGAGTCACCATGCGCAACATGCAGGCACACAGGCTGTGAGCATAGGTCTTGGAGAGAGCACTGTGCCAGGTTGGCACCACCAAGCCCTTGCTTGGGTTCTCTGCTGTGTAGCAGCATAAATCACTCTGTTCAGAGCAGTGTGGGCTAAGTCCTATGCCTAGCCAGCTATCACAGCCAGAGAGGCGTCAAAAGAGACATCTCTTCTAGTTCTCCTGCTCCTCCAAAGCAACTAGCTAGCTGAGATGGGGAATATACTGGTGATATCTTTCCACAGTCCTCTGTCCACCCCCACAACGAGACCAGTAGTCCAAGCAAGACTGCTTTAACCCAAGAGGCAAGAACCTCTAGGGACAACCAGACCGACCATGATCATTCAGATGCCTGAGAAAGAGTGGGGTGAAATCTAGCTTGCAAGAAATGAGTACATCTCTAAGAGGGAAGATGGCACTTTACCAGAAGGAACAGCTTACGTTTATTTGCTGAGAGTTGGGACTTATACTGGCCTCGAACCAGCCGGCAGGTGGACCCATCTCCATTGCAGACCCCACAATTATCTTCCTTGACAGTGCTTCCCAGCTGGTGGTCACAGCCAACGATCTGGCAAGAAAGGAAGATGTGCATTTCAAGGTGAGCACCTACCAACTGACTGCTCGATCCATCTCTGCAACTAATTACCACTAAATTTCTTTCTCAGCAACTCTAGAGGGCCACAAAGTACCTTAGCAATGAAAGAGACTAAGGAAATCTGGCTGGGAGTTAGCACCAAGGTCAGGCATGAGGTAGTGAACAGATTAGTACTCAATGGCTTTTCCAGTCCAGAGGAATAAAAGAGTATTGTTGGAGTATTGCTATTTCAGGGCATTGTGAACATTTATTGGTCAGAGTCCTATCAGAAATTTCATTTCTTAAGAGTTTCACAAAGAAAAATGCCTGAAACAGATAAGAAGACAGATAGTAAGCAGACAGATAGATAAAAGTAAAGAGCAATGTAGATCAATGGTAACATGGCTCAGTGAAATTTTACCTGCTATGCAGCTGGGAAAACCATGTGGTTTTAATTATGTTTGACAGTAATCCCATTCCACACTGTCAATGCCTGTGTTCAGACATTATAAAAGATCTGATAAAGAAGGAGTGAATGATTGCAGCAAAAGAACTGAGTCAGAAATGCAGTTACCTGCTCTGAAATTGGTTTTATGCCTATATGTGAATTGTTTGGTTCAAAATTTTAAAAGTTGTATACATAAGCTAGGTTTCTCAGTTTGCAAAACCCCCTATAATTCCCAGGAGAATAAAATATAAATTTATAATTAGACACATTTAAAATTACCTAATGGAATGCAAATTTATTTAACACAGTGTTAATCCAGGCCTATTGCTGGCACTTTGGAGTTCTGCACATATGAATTTTGCACATAAATAACTGAAATCCTAAAAATTACGAAAGTCCTTACAGAGTGTTATTACTATCTTTATAAGTACTAGAAAATGAAAAGCCTTCTAGCATTCTGGCATGCAGAGTAAGCAATAAAAAAAAAATTGTATATAACTTCTACTTCTTATGAGCTTGTGCTAAGGCTCTTAGCCAAACAGAGAGTATATATAAACACAAGGAATTTTACATAAAGTTCTTGTTTCAGCTTTGAATTTCCCTGCATCACTGAGTTTCAGTTAAATCAGACAGCTGGGTCCTTGAAAATTATAACAGAAAATTATAAGAGCAGTTATCAGCAAGATTCAAAAAGCTGTAAACATTCAGACTAATATTTCTTATTTATGCAAATCTGAGTGTGCAGAATTACAGATCTCTGCGAGGGTAAGAAGTACTTTTCATTTTGACATGATCTCTTCATTTGCCTATGAAAATGCAGACTTTGATTAATAACCAGTATTTACTTTTAGCAATTCAATTTCCATTTCTAACATCATCACTTTAGCAGCGGCACAATAACTGTTTCTTTGGTCATATCTGTCACACTGAGAGTATAATTAATTTAATTTAAATCATTACAGATTTAGTTCAGGCTAGCTGAAAGCTGTCATCAGATTTCTTCGACTGATCTTCCAGATCAGAACTGGGTCAAGCCTTCTATACTTACCCATTATATTAAGATGTCTCCAAGAGAATTATTTGAGGTCCAATGGAGTAAAAGCCACACGTAAACAATACATTTCCTTGAAAACCTAGTCATACCAAGACTGTAAGAGACATTTTAACACATCAGAAACACCATGACAAATAATGGTTAGAAAGCTGAAGCAAAGTTAAGCGTGTCTTGACTATCTTGACTGTGACTACTCCACAGAGAACTTCCAGGTACAGATATATAAATTGTAACCATGACATCATGTAAGATTTAACTCTACTTTTTTTCTGAATAAGAATATCCCTAAAGGAGCTGAATGTAGCCTGTTATGCTTTAATTTTCAAGAATACCTCTGTGTAGACAAGATGGTAAAATGAATAACTTGCATGATCTGAAAACTGTATGACACAATGCCTGCAAATCAGATTAATTTCCTTGTAATGCATTAGAGATTGCTAGCACTCACAGTGAGAAGGGTCCTGCTGAGGAACCCAGATAACAGAAAAAAGGTTAGAATTCCCTTTCAATATCTGCTCACAATATATTTTATACTCAATAGTTTATAAACTTCAATTTAGAGTATTACACAAATCTTTATTCCTTTGCCTATTTTGAATAGAATATATGAACTGCTTGGATGTGAAATTAACTGAATCTTAAAACCAGGTATGAGGTAATCAATTTTAAAAAACAGCATTAACTACTTTAAAGCATTTTTAACTTATGAGTCTCACATGTTCCCATGAGCTGTACCCTGACTGAAGTTAATTTACAAATTGAGCAATTTGGAGCTAGGTCACAACTTGTAGAGGAAACTACCAGGAAAATCTCAGGTGTGAAAGGAAGTTATACTGAAATTTGTTTCTTTTTCTGAGCTGGATTGCCATTACCAGTGTATAGCATAAAAATATTTCTTCTGCTGAAATGCTGTATTTCAAATGGAAGTATGAGCAAAGTGGAACTATGGAGACCTCTGTGAATACAAACACTTCTGTGGTATATACAATATGTATATTAACCTTCCTGTAATTGGTAGTGTCTCAGATAATTTAATGCTATTAAAATTCTTGATGACCCTAAATTAATTTCCTATTTCTCTCCAAGGTTTCTGCAGAGCTTTTTGTTTACTCTGTTAGATTATCTGTCTCAATAGACACACAGAGCTCTGGGAATATGTATAAAATTTTCACTAAAAATCCTAATGAGTGATTAACTAATGCCTGAAATAAAAAACATTCCCAAGTTCATTGCTTTTTTCTTTTCTTTTTTCTCCCATCACTACCTAGGGAAATCTTTCTTCCACCTATTAAACATAATTATATGCAGTTAAAAGGTTGCTAGTGTTTGCAATAGAGTCACTGATGCTTTAAAATGAAAAACACTACTCCATATCTGTTATGTCACTTTTTAGTAGCTCTTACATGAAAATATTATATAAGCTGGACTTTTATGAAAGCAAAAGATACGAAAAGGAAATATTAAAGTGCTCCTCAAAAAAATACACAGTTCATGAGAATAATAACTTTTGTCTCTCTGAGCACAAGAAACATAGGTTTAGCTGAGTGGACATGAGAATACGTCATTTCCATAACATTATTTTCACACTCCATCAAGGCTGCAGACAACTCACTCATCAAAAAAGATTATGGAGTGGGTGAAAATATGTCACTACTCCCTCAGAAGTCTGCAGAGAGTTAGCAAGGAACAGGAAGGCAGAATTGTTTGTTTTAGCATCCACCCATAACATGAACAAAACACAAAGGGGAAGTTTTAAAATGGCTGTTATCAGAGATGCCAAAGATGTAACAGTAGGAGAGGCCAGCAAACAGGAAAAGTAGATTCACTTGGGCTGCAGAGCCTGAAAAGCTTGCCAAGACACTGACCTACAGGCATACTCATCCAACTAGAGGTGGCTGAGGACCTTGTCACAAAAATAAGCACCATGGAAGGTACTGCTTGATCAGCTTGGTAGGCAAAGGAGACAATAAGGATATTGCACCTCTAATATACAGCTCACAATAATGGTTTGATGGACACGGTTTGAAACAAAATGCTGGCATATTTGAATCAGAGGTCTGGGGAATATTTCACTCTCTGAAAAGCTTCAAAATGTCAACTCTTTGTCTTGGTTTGAAACTGGACCCAATGTTGAAATCCTTAAGTTTCTGTGGGATCGAAACTTCCTTTTCCAATGCATTCTAGTCCTCATCGTAATACACCCTGGGGGGTTTAGACAAATGAAGTCTTTTTTAATCCATAAAGGTCTGAGAAGGAAGACCCCACCAGGAATGAAAATGGATTACTGTAACAAATTATGCCTGGAAATGTTCTGATGTAAGCAGTTTTCATACTCATTTCTATTATATTTTAAGCTTCCTCCCCTTGAAGCAGGGTAACGAAGCACAGACTTTCTACACTGAAATTTTCTGAGTTTCAAATTGCTGAAGTTTGGTCAGAGGCTTGAACTGCAGATTGTTACCACACAAATATCAGAAGCAGCTCTGTTAAGTTCCCTAACAATCAAATCCAAACTGCATTAAAATCAAGAACATGTACTTATAAATTTGATAAGCTTTGGATGAATTTCTTGTACATTTTTAAAGGTGCTTCTATGAAGCTCATTGCTATTGTGGTGAAATGCCCTTAAAGCAGTAAAGGCAGATTATGCAGAGCTCTGGAGGTCTCTCAGTATATGAAGATGTCAGCCATGTAGTATTAGAGTAAGGAAATCACAGGTGAGCACCAACTCCCTGCCCAGCTCTTCTTTACCAACCCTAAAGTGAGCTGATTTTTATTCTCCTTATGGGTTTAGCTTGAAAAGTCCAGCAACAAAAAGCCAGAATAATATCACCTAATCCCTAGTTGGCTGAGCCTGTATTGTTTTCTGGCATAAGATACCAGAGTTCTGCTCAGAGGTAAAGATTCCATATTACATTTTAGGCTGAAGTCTCATACTTCATGCTGAGTTTGATTCTCCTTCCCCCCCCTCTCCCTTTTACTCCACTGACAGCCTCTGGTTGGAGAAACAGAAAAAAAGATACACATTAGCATGACTGATACACTTTAGCAAAATAAGTTTTACAGGCACTGCAAGAAAATAGATGGTCATCAAGTTAGAAGATGAATTGCTTGTGTATAGTTTAAAGGCATTAGGCTGAAACTCCCACAGCAGAGTTGGAACTTGCTCACTGAGTGCATGCACGAGTGTTATGCATGCGTTCCCCTTGTGGACTTGATCTCTGGCTCAGTTTGGCAATCTTTCCAGAAATAAAACTGGACCAGCACTGACAGGTTCTGTTCCAGCCTTGCTAGCGTGGCAATGCCCTGAAGTAAGAAATTTTCATAATAATTTCTATTCAGTATTAAGAAACCCTGGGTAGGAAATAATGTAATAAAGCAACCTTGCAAATCTAGCCAGTTATAAATAATTTTTTCTGTTTTCTGAAGGGCATATCTGCAGTTCAAACACAAGAAGTTCTGAGAATCCGAGGAAAACAAAGTTGCCCTTCA